GCGCTCTGGACACCCGCTGTCTCCAGGTCTCAGGCTCTCGGGGAGGTTCACAGTGGGCTGAGACCCCACGGAGCCAGGTCCTCCTTGCACAGTGGTTGCCCTGCCACTCAACGGGAGAGGTCTACGCCCTGCTTCCCACGGCCAAGAAAGCAAATGAATTCTGAGCGGCTTACCACCCACTAGAGACAGGAAATGCCACTTCCAACAATTGTTAGGAGGGGGCTTTTGTGTACTGTTTGCCCTTTTCTGACTTAATTTAGGACTATGAATTCTAGTTAGGTAATCTAAAATATTCTTTTTTATCAAAGCACAAAGATGGTGCTCTGGGGTCTTTAGAAGTGTACCTGCTGGGGCTCCATTAGAATGAATCATAAGAAATACAGAGGGCAAAGGCTGAGGAGGGTGAGTCTGTGCTTGACCTGTGGAGTCCGAGTCTGAGAAACAAACAGTGACCTGATGGGTGAGAAAGGAAGCATCAGGGACCAGCAAACTCTGATAGCACTGACACCACTGTTGACAAACGACCGGCTCAGCTAACTCGGGAGCTGTGGGAAAGGGCAATGAGGAGGCAGAGCAGGGAGGAAAGAGCAGGTCCAGTCAGACTTTAACAGCGCAGAGAGATCTGAACATAATAACGGGTTAAATCTGTTAGGTTTTACTTTTAGGTTTGCTTTTTTTGTTGTTTTGCTTTTAGAAAGTACTCTCAGAGGAGTATCTGCATTAATCTTGTCACTCCACTGAAATCCTCAAGTTTTAAAAACAAGACAGCAAACAGCTCTCATTTATGAGGTGATCAAATATATGGTGAATGTTTGTTTTTAAAATAATTATTGCAGTAAACATTCTGCCACGACCACCCCCACATTCCTCCGTGCTTTGAACACACTCACCTCACCACTCCTGCCACTTTCCGAAGCAGTTCTGGAGTCCTCTTTCCTGAGTGTCTTCAGGTGCACTGTTGTGGCTGCCTCAGCGTCCTGAATTCGCTCCAAACGTTTCCCTTTCGTGATCATTTTGACTTTGGGAAAGAGCCAGAAGTCTTGTGTGTCAGGCCCAGTGAACGAGGCAGACGAAGACCACTATGTTTACACCATTACGTGTTTAGGAGCCCGCCTTTCTGTTGGACAGCACTTGGCAGCAGCACTTACTGTACTTTTGACCCGCCCCGCCTAAAGACACGAAAGAGGACGTCCAGCACTGCTTTAGAAAGTTGCAAGAAGGATGGGATAATTGTGTCTGAGTGAGGCGAGTATTTTGAGGGGGAATTAATGGCAACGTGCCTTTTATTGGAGTTTTTAAAGGTTAAACATATACCTTGTTATTTTAAAAGAAACAACCAGAAGAATAAGGCAATCTCTGTAGAAAGTCCAACCTGACTGCCTTAGTATGACTATCTGAAATTTTCAAATGGTTAGCAAATAGGAGTAATAAATATAGTGAATATAAATAATACATGGGTACAATATTCCAAATTTTCTCACACTGCTCAAGTACAATGGCAGTAGATTTTCCTTGACTTTCTTCACTCATCATGCATCTGTTTATAGTCACAGGTACACTTATTTAATTTCTTCCTTTTCTTGGTGGGGTTACTAGAAATTAACTTAAGCGAAGCTTATTGTAAAGCCTGGAACTCAGTAGAGTTCAATAAGTGAAGAGTCTCCCTCTTTTGTGCAAGGTGGTCTTCTGTGTCCCTCAGTCTCTCTGCAGTCAAGGGTACTTTGTAAGCAACTGATCTACACTCATCCCACAGCTAAGCATCAACACCTACCAAACAAACCTTCAGCATCTTCCCTCTTCCTCAGTTTCCTCAATGTCCACCTTATTTTTTTCTTAGAGGCAAAACCCTGGAGGTTAAAATAAGCCTTTTAAAAAAAAGATAGGGTCTCATTACTCACTATGTAGTTAACCTGGTCTCAAACTCATGATCCTTCTGCTTTAGCTCCCAAGTGCCAGGATTGCTGGTGTGTGCCACCACATCTGGCAGGGCTCCATAGTTACATCAGATTGTCTTAAACCCCATAAGCATGATTTGCACAACAGACATTGGAAGTTTCCATCAATTTAACTGCGAACAGAAGCATCTCGATCTTTTTATTCATCCCTGGGAAAAGAATCCCACAAGAACACTGCATGGAATCCCGAACTCCCCTGCGGGGAAGATAATGAATGAGTGTAGGTCTAGTGCGCTGACAACAGATGGCGCACTTCACCACTAAGCTACTTTTCCAGCCCCTTCTGCTGGGACTTGTGAACCTCTGGTGAGAATTTGAAATGGTAACTTAATACCAAGATGACAAGCGTGCAGGGGTGTAAAAGCTGTACACAGTATGGTAGAGAAGGGACAACAGGACAGGAAACTATCCTGAGACAGGAAAGTGTGACTTTTTGGAACTGTAAAAGTTTTCACAGAACTGCTGCTGGCTTCTGCCATCCCCAACCAAGGGAAGGCAGTCTCAAGAGCACTGGACATACTAACGCTTAGGAATGCAGGTCAGTGCACCACAATATAGTGGAAAGGTGACTGACACTTTTTTTTTTTTTTTTTTTTTTGGTACCGGGGATTGAACTCGGGTCCTTGCGCTTGCAAGGCAGGCCACTGAACCACTGAGCTAAATCCCCGGCCCAGCACTTTTCAAAAAAGAAATGAAATTTATTTTTGTGTCCCATATAAAGCAGAGTTCAGTATGACAATTACTCTTTTGTTAATATTTCGAATGTTAATAGCTTTGTGTATGGCTTGTAACTGGAAAGAACTTTTAACTTTTGGAACTGACCTGAGAACTTACTACACTGGTGAATTATCCAAGAAATGGATTCCCTCACTGCTCTTTTCATTGTCCCATTAACAGCAAGTGGCTAACGGCAAAGACTTTGGAGAAAACAATACGTAGACTTTTTTTGAGACAGGGTCTTCCTGTGTAGCCCAGGCTGGCCTTGACCTCTCAGTGATCCTCCTGCCTCAGCTTCCCTAGGGCTGGGAAGACAGGTTTGCACCATACCATGCCCAGCCAGACACCAAGATTGAAATCTTTCCTCAGCAGTTTTCTAGCTGTGACTTTATTGAGATACTTAAAGATCTCTCAGATTTATCTGTTAAAAAAAAGATTATGCTTACCTCACAGGGCTTTTTGAGGACCAAAGAAATAAAGCAAATAATTGCTAACTATATATTGTGCAGAGAAAGTAGCTGGGTGTTTGGTAGCTGTACCAATGATGTTACTGCAGATGAAAATAAAGTTAATCTTGGAATGTGAAAGATGCACATTTCAGTTTTATATTATTGACTGTCCACTAAGACCTGTGGAAGGTCCCCATTCAAGCTCCGTGCAAGGATCTCATGGTTACTTTCACGCTTGCTGAAGCCAAAGGACTGAACTACTGCGCTGCTTAATGCTAACCAGGAAGTCTTGAAAGCCGCATCTCTTGCTTCTAGTTGGTGTTGCGTTGGCGTGGATTAATTCGAAGGGTCTGTCCCAAGAAGAGAGTGAAACGGATTCTGCAGGGTTCTCAAGTTCTCCCCTGGAAACTCAAGAGAGACAATCCCTACAACCTACCCTACACTGGTCACCTGTTCCCTCCCTTCCCAGCACTCACTGCTTGTGGCTGGAAAGAAGGTATGTGCAAGGTAAAGAGAGCAGTTGCAGAATGGTTTCTAAATGGCTACATGATTCAAATTAAAGTTGCAGTGCTGAGAATTCTTTTCGTGGAACCTATGAGCTCAGCCCAAGTGCCAGGCCTCTGCAGAATCACCATAATTTTGTTTTTTCTGAAATGTTGTATTTGGGAACATTACTAGTTTTTTAAATAACTGAACCATTTAAAGGAATCGCCTTGCTGGGGATTTAGTTCAGTGGTTTCGCTGCCTGCCTCGCAAGTGCACAGTGAGTTCGATCCCTGGTACCAAAAAAAACAATAAATAAATAAATTGCCTTAAGCCGGGAGGGACACACAAGCAAGCTCAGCACCCTTGAAGGCTGAGGCAGGAGGATCACAAGTTTAAGCCCAACTTGGTCAATTTAGCGAGACGTGCTCCCTCCCCAAAAGGCTGGGGATGTAATTCATAAGTAAATAATGGCCGGAGATGTAGTTCAGCATTAACTCCCTGGATTCAATATTTACCATGTGTGCAAAGTAGCAACACCAAGAGTTCTACTTTACTGCTGAGTGAAGTCGATTTGGACAGTCGGCTTCGAGGCTGAAAAAGACAACTCAGTGGGGCGGCTCCTAGGTGATGGGTGCCGAAACTTCTACCTCGGCCCATCTGACTCTAATCAGAGATCTCTTACTAACTCCGGGAAGCCCGTCAGCCGCTCCCACGGCAGCCTCGGGCAGCGCACAGCAAGGCAGTGAACACGGAACAGCAGTGGGAAGGCGAGACGTGGCGACTGAGTCTGCTCACTGTCCGCCTACCTCGAGAGAGAACTGGAAGGCCGACTGGGCAACTGCGCACGCTCACTTAGCCCTCCCCGCCCCAACTTCGGCCTTGGACCCACTGCCGCATTGACTACTTTCCCGTAGTCAATCTGGCGCAAGCCATTCCCTTTTGCGACGTGGACAGTCTTCTCTTCTCGGGCGGTCCGCTGGGAAGCCGACACACGCGCCTTCGGGTCTGAGGGTGCCCTACCAGGTTTGCCAGTCGTCAAGATGGCCGCTAGAGGGCAGGGCCCAAATAGAGCCCTTCCATTGGCTCAGGTCTCATCGCACCACCCCCTTAGTTCTGCGCGCGCCGTCTTCTCCACTCGCAACGCGTGCGCAGTGGCAGGGCCGGGAGGCGGGGCAGCCCGCTTCCGTGGGCACGCGCCTTCGGGTCTGAGGGTGCCCTACCAGGTTTGCCAGTCGTCAAGATGGCCGCTAGAGGGCAGGGCCCAAATAGAGCCCTTCCATTGGCTCAGGTCTCATCGCACCACCCCCTTAGTTCTGCGCGCGCCGTCTTCTCCACTCGCAACGCGTGCGCAGTGGCAGGGCCGGGAGGCGGGGCAGCCCGCTTCCGTGGGGGCACATGTTCCGGTGGCTGGAGGTGCTGGAGAAGGAGTTCGACAAGGCCTTCGTGGACGTGGACCTGCTGCTGGGCGAGATCGACCCGGACCAAGCCGACATCACCTACGAGGGGCGGCAGAAGATGACGAGCCTTAGCTCCTGCTTCGCGCAGCTGTGCCACAAGGCGCAGACCGTGTCGCAGATCAACCACAAGCTGGAGGTGGGCCGGGGCGGGCGTTAGGCCCGGTGACGCGCCGGCGAGCGAGGCGGG